CTGGAACCTTGGTCATCACATTTCTCCGCTTTGAAGGCTCCTCCTTGTGAAACTCCAGCCCAGCCTTTAGTTCTCAGTCTAGAAACTGCTTCCTCCAGGAAGTCATCCATGACCACTCCACTGCCAGATCTAGAGAAGGAGGCCCCCTGCTGCTCCATAGCCTCCTTCTCATGACTGCATTGATGAGGCTGCCTCATCACTTTCTGTTCTTTGTGAATCTCCTTTTAAGTGGAAGACGTGTGGGGCAGGGTCTTGCAGCCTTGGTTGCTGCTGCACTCACAGCACCTAGTCCTGCCCAGCACAGACACACAAACACAAGGAGTGAACAAGAGCTGGAAGGAATCTTCACAGCGGCTGCTCACTACAACTTAACGAGTCTTTGGCTTTGGCTGCTTTCGGGTAACATCCTGCTTGTCTTGGCTCGTTCTGCCTCCTGCAGTTCTGTCTTACACTGCACTGCCTCCTGGCTTGCAGCTTCTCATAAGGACAGCACTGTCCTTTCTGCCCTTCCTCTCATCTCATCTCTCTGGCTAGATGACCTAGTTAATGGTCCCCAAATCGTCCCAAGACTCCCCCATCATTTCCGGATAACTTGTCTTTTTCCTTCCCTCTGAAACTCACCTTCTGGCGGTGGCTTCCATAATTTTGCACATTTAATTCCCTGGTGCTGTTCACTTCTTGCCTCCCAGGTTCAGCTAAGCCCCTGAAGTAATTTAGGTAACAGCTCAATTATCTCATCTCTCCTTAATCTTTCCATTTCCACCACCACCTAGGAAGCAGTGAAAATGAGATGAGCAATGCATTTTCTGCCCAAACTTACTGCTCCCCTTGCATTTCTTATCTCAGTTCATGTCATTGGCGTCTACCCAGTCACCTGAGATCTCTGCCTCAGAATTACCATCTGCTCCTTCCTCCTCTCTTGGCTGTTTCCAGGAAGTCGCCAAGAGGATTTGCTCTCCTGTTGAGAAGTCTCTCAAATTCAGTTTTCTCTGGCCACAAGACCATACCCAGGCCTCACCATCTCTCATTTGAACCAAGAGTTTCTGCCTGGTCTTCTTGCCAATAGCCCCATATCCCTGCTCATCCACCCACCCACCTACCCATCCATCCCTTCATCCTCCAATCTGCCCTCAATGATCTTGCCAGAACACATGTTGGTTATATCCTACCTCTGCTAAAATAACTTCCATGACTCTCCACTGCCCATAGCAGACATTCTTATTTTATTTTAGAAACAGGCCCTTGCCTATTTCCCAGGCTGGAGTGCAGTGGCATGATCATAGCTCACTGTAGCTTCAACCTCCCGGGCTCCAGTGATCCTCCCACTTCAGTCTCCCAAGTAACTAGGACTGTGGGTGCATGACACTACACCTGGCTAATTTTTAAATTTTTTATAGAGATGGAGTCTTGCTATGTTGCCCAGGCTGATCTTGAACTCCTGAGCCCAAGTGATCCTCTTGCCTCTGCCTCCCAAAGCCCTGGGGCTGCAGGCATGAGCCACTGCACCTGCATCCCTAAAGCAGGCATTCTTAATTCTGGCTGCACATTAGAATCCTCTAGAGAGTATGACAATGTGAGTGCCATGCTCTACCCTCAGAGATTCTGATTTTGTCTTGGATGGGGCTGGGGTCTTGGTGATTTTTTTAAGCTCCCCAGGTGATTCTTGTGTGCAGGACAGATTGAGAACTATGTGATCTAGAAGATAAGGGGTCCCACCCTCTTAGCCTGGCAGTGTGCCCCACAGTTGGGCCTTTAATCTGTATCCCCAGGCTCATGTCCTACAGTCCTTCAGTAACACACTCACAATTCCATCTCTCCTGAGCTACTTCACTATATTTGTGCCCACTGTTCCTTCTACCCACAATTTCATCCTCTCTCTGACTTCTGACCATTTGGAAAACTCCTACTCATCCTTCAAGACCCAGCACAAATGCAACTATTTTTCAGGGTTCTCTTTTCCATGCATCTGCTATGTGGCAGGCAGGTTGCTGGGTGCTGGAAGTGATGACTGCAAAGAAATGGTCCCTGCCCTCAAGAGCTCACAGTAGGGTGAAGGGGAAGGATGGAAACTTCTTAAGGTAGAAGGTCTCTAACTTAAGTATGCATCCAAATCACCTCAAGGGCTTGTTAAAACACAGGTGCTGGATGCAGCTCCAGGGCTTCTGAGTACAGGTGATCTGGGGCTGCCCTGAGAACTTATATTTTCAAGTTCCTAAGTGATGCTGCTGCTGCTGCTGGTTCAGGGGCCACAGTGAGAACCACTGCCTTAGTGTGTGGTCAGGGGAGTGCTCTCTAGGGAAGTATCGCCTAAGCTGAATCTACAGTAATAGAAAGAGACATTCATGAGAAGAGCAGGGACTGTGGTATTCCAGGTAGAGGGAAGAGCATGAAGGACCCAGTGGGAATAGAAGGGATCATGTGCCTGGTACCCAGAGTGCACTGGAGGAGACCAATGCCTTCTGCAGCATCTCCAGTAGAACCGATGCTCTGTTATAGACTAGAACTACCTTCCACTCTAAATCATTTTTTCTGACACAGCCACTCAGCAGCGAGCCCCCTCCAAGGCAGGGTGTGCATCATAGCCACCTTTGTGTGCCCAGAGCCCACCAGGACCTGATACAGTAGATTCTGAGGGATTCTAGCTGGGGTCGTATTGTAGTGTCCTGGCTCTTTCTCTAGGTTGTAAGCCAAGGAGAAATCTGTTTGTTTCATAGCAGTGTCCTAAATGCTTCATCATCCTCCCTTTTCCTTAGATAGTTCCCATCCTCTATCTGAACCCAATTTCCTTCTCTCAAATTTCTGCTGCCTAGATAGATTTTTAGCACATTTGATGAGAAAAAGAAAAATTCCTTGAAGTCAAGGTAGCCCCGCCTCACCTAACTTCCCAAGCCCCAGGAGATAGGGAGAGGTGGGGTGGTGGGGGTGGGGTGGGGAGAGCAATTCAGAGGCCCTTCTGCTTGGCTTTGGGGAGGTGGATGTGGTCATAGTGGGAGTTGGCAGAATTGCTGTATTAGTCCATTTTCATGCTGCTGATAAAGACATACCCAAGACTGGGAAGAAAAAGGTTTAATTGGACTCACAGTTCCACATGGCTGGGGAGGCCTCAGAATCATGCAGAGGCCTTGATTATTTCTTACATGGTGGTGGCAAGAGAAAATGAGGAGGAAGCAAAAGTGGAAACCCCCAATAAACCCATCAGATCTCACAAAATTTATTCACTATCACGAGAGTAGCATGAGAAAGACTGGCCCCCAAGACCATTTCTATAACACATGGGAATTCTGGGAGATACAGTCCAAACTGAGATTTGGGTGGGGACACAGCCAAACCATAGCAATTGCCTTTCTCAAAAATGCTAATAGTAGGAGGCTGTGTTTCCTGAGAACAGAACCTTGGCCAGCTCCTGGAGGTGTTCCACACTCAGGACAGAGTGGGACAAGGCAGGCCTGGGGGGACCCTGGAGCTGCCACCCTCAGGTGGTGGAAGGGCCTGTCCCCTCACATCCTGCCTTTACAACATCTCTGTCCACACTGGAAAGGAGTCAGGGAGAGACTGCATTGGAGGACAAGAGCTCCAGCACAGGTGCCCTCTGTGGCAGGAAAGGGTTATTGGTTTGGTTTTTGTTTTGAATTGCCCTTCCTCTTCCTTCCTGGAGAACAGGGTGTATCCACCTTTACCTAAGGCTCCCTGAGGGCTCTTTGGTAAATACAGATGGTCCTCAACTTAAACTTGGGATGACTTCTAATTTTGAGACTTTATAGTGTTGTGAAAGTGGTACACATTCAGTCTAAACCATATTTCAAGTACATATAAAACCATTCTGTTTTTCACTTTCAGGATAGCATTCAATTAATTACATGAGACATTCAACACTTTATTAGAAAATAAGCTTTGTGTGCAATGATTTTGCCCATCCATAGGCTAATGTGTTCTAAGCACGTTTAAGGTAGAGTAGGCTAAACTATGATGTGCTGTAGATTGGGCTTATTAAATGCATTTTCAACTTAGGATGTTTTCGCCTTGTGATGGGTTTATTGGGATGTAGCCCCACAGTAAGTTGAGGAGCATCTGCAGAACCAAGAGACAGATTTTCTCTGATCTCATTAGCATCCCAATCTTTGGGAAACAACAGTATAAGGATCTGTGGTTCTCAGACTTGAGTGAGTATCCGAATCCCTTGGAGGGCTTGTTAAAGCCCAGATTGCTTGGGGGGGGCACCCCCAGAGTGTGTGACTCAGAAGGTTTGGAGCGGGACCGGACAGTCCGCATTTCTAACCAGTCCCCAGGTCATGCTCTTGCTGCTGGTCTTGGAGCACACTCTGAGAACCCCTCCTTTAGCATCACACCCAGCTAGAGAGTGCTAAAAACCTATCAGTCATTGCAGGACAAAGGGTTTTTTGTCTTGCAGGTATTTGTATTTTCCTTAACTCTTCCTCCTGAATACAGAATCTGAACCCTCCTAGTCCCTTTCCCTACAGCTCCACGGAGGGGCAAAGGCATGTATTTCCAAGAGACAGAGGCCAAGAGACAGAAGCCAATATCTGGAGAAGAACAAAGAAGTTAAGAGCCCAAGAAAATTACAAGGGTTGAGGGAGGCAGGATGGGGGAGTGGAAGTATCTACTTTTTGTTCTTTCTATTGCATAGTTCTAGAAATCATACAAGTATAACATTTAAAGCACAATTGGTTTAATATTTCTTAGCTCCAGTGGAGGTAGCTTCTTCCCAGAAGGTAGAGGTACCTGGAACAAGCACCACATTTAGTAGGAGAGTAGAACTGCATAGGCATCAAAGACCTGGGTTCTAGCCCCAGTGCTGCTCTGTGACCTTGGAGGATCACTTCAGCTGTTGTAGCCTGTTTCTCCAGCTGTATAACATGTAACAACAAGACTGACCTTGAAGGGGCAATGTGGGGGTCAAAAGAGCTGAGGTGGGTGGCAGTGTAAACCACTGTTTGATGACATTCCAATGTAGCCAGTCTGAGCTTTCTTGGTTTCCACAGGAAGGACCAGTACCTCCTCTCACCTGTGAACTGTTGGTATCTGGTTCTGCATCAGACCCGGCGGGAGAGCCGAGACCATGCCACCCTCAATGACATCTTCATGAACAATGTCATCGTCCGCCTCTCCCAGATCAGTGAGGATGTCATCAGACTCTTCAAAAAGGTGGGCAAGTGGGCTGTCCCATGTGTCCGAGGTCTTTGCCCCAAGCTGGCCCATAGTAACACTATACCAGCCAGGGTGGGATGTGGTTTGGAGACAAGGGACCAGAAGGGCAGGTGCATTGAAGGATGCAAGTGGCTAAGGGCTGGACTTGGGACCGCAACCCAAGTTTGAACCCTGGATGTACCTTTCAAAGAATGTGTGGTCTCAGCCACTTAAGCAACCACTGCCACAAAAATAAAAACCTTTGCATGGGTAGGTAAGTAGTACATGTTCATTGTAGAAAATTTTTAAAATTAGAGAGGAGCACACACATAAAAATTAAAATGACCTGAAATGCCATTGTTTGGAGATAACCACTCTGATATCCTAGGAATTTCTCTATATGTACAAATGCAACTACATTTTCTGAGAGTCCTTAAATTCATGTATTTTCTAGTGTACACATGCATTTTTCCAAATCAGATCATAATGCATATATGATTTTACTACCTGCTTATGTCACCTAACAAATTACATAACACTCTATTACATTTTCCCATATCAATAAGCACATTTCCATAACATTTTGAATGATTACATAGTATCTCATTATATAGGTATACCCTAATTTATTTAATCTCTTATTGTTGAGCACTTAGTTTATTTCTGTTACTTTACTCTTATAAATAACGCTGCTGTGAGCTTTTTTGTCACATTCACTGTTAGTTTCTTAGGATCAAGTTTCTGCAGTGGGAATTTTAGAGTTGAAAGTATGCTCATTTTTAAAGCTTTTCACAGTGTACCTTATTGCCTCAGGAATATTTTACCCATATAAACATCCAGAAGCTGAGTGTGGAAGGAGAACTGCGGTTTCTGCATCCCAGTTTCCTTGTACAGTGCCTGGCATGTGTAAGGTGCTATACAAATGTTTGTAGATCTGAACTCACTTCTGTGAATTTCAGTTTCCTTGTCTGGGAAATGGGCAAGTCGTTTAGCCTCTGTGAACCTCATTCTCTTTGTCTATCCAGAAGAGTTAAGATCAGCTACTTCCCAGGAGGCTGAGGGTTAAACAGATAGTGTGTGGGGAGAGTAACATTATTGCAAAGTGGTTTGGGATGTGGCCTCTGGGTCTAGAATTCTTAATTCTTGGGTTCATAATCCTGGTTCCATCATTTATTAGCTGTGTTTCTTTGGACTTGTTACTTCTACTCTCTGTGCCTCAGTTTCCTCATTTGTGAAATGGGGATGGAGATAAATACCCATGGGCATATGGGAGGATTAACAGGCTTGTTGTTCCCATGTACAGTGTGGAGACCAGCACCTGGCACTTAGTAAGTGCTCATGAAAGCTATTATTATGCAAATATAAGAGACTATTATTACCAAAAGAATCTAGCTCATCTCTTCTTGCCAGGTGGCAGTTTTAGGGATTTGGTGACCTGAGATTGCTAGAAGCACAAAGAAGGGGACAAGTTGATTGAAAATATAATCATCTTTCCATGGTCTGTGTTTGGATTGTCCACTTTGAGGATTACTTCTATAGCAAAATTGTAATCACAGGCTAATTTCCTCCTGCCACACAATATTCTTCTGGTCTCCTCCTGGGGTCATGTTTATGAAATGTGGGCTAACTTTCATATTTGCATAAGCAAACATAATTAGGAAGGTAAATACAGTGCAAAGAAAGAAAAATTACACAGTACTTTGCAAAGCCAAGCTGACATGATCCAGACGTCTGCAAGTTTGGACTGTTGGTCTCATTCCCAGCCCCCGCCTGCTGTTGCTGTCACATCTTTTTTCCTGGGTGGGAGTGACTCACAGGGAAAGGGTCATCAAGGCCTTTAGGAAATGAAGGGTCTTTTTCCTGAGCTGAGCCCTGGGACAAGTGAGATAAATCTTTTCAGTTCTCATTTAGGCTGACAGCAGCCTGACTTGTGATGGAGGTTAACAGGGTGGAAAATAATGAAAAAAATGTCTACAGCTGAGCTCCCGGCTGCCTTGTTACCAGGCCTGTTCCTGTGGAACAAAGGAAACAACTCAGCCCACAAGGGCTTTGGAGAGAGGCGCGGACAGAGCCTGGCTGGCTGACTTTGCGCAGCACGGCCCCTTTGTGTCACATCAGTTATACCTAATTTTGGAACGGAGGCCGGCACTCTTTACATAATAATAGTTCCCGCAGACCTCAAAGCAACTATGGAAGCTGCTGTCTGGTCAGACTGGGGATCCTCGAGGAACCCCATTTTACAGGTGAGGAGGTAAAGCGCTGGGAGGCTTCGAGGAGAACCCAGACTTGGTGGCTTTGGGCCCCTTGTCATTACCGGCAGGAAACAGCATGGCTGGGCTTTTGGAGTTTGACTCAGAACTGCCTATCACTGACCACCCTGGGAAAGTCTCTCTGAGTCTCAGTTTTCTCATCTGGGATATGGAGATGGTAACAATGCCAGCTTCATAGGGGGCTGCTTGGCTGGGTAGAGGTGGGCCAAGTGTCCAGCCCAGGCCTGGCATCCAGTAGTTGCTTACTAAATGGTAGTTTGCCAGTGATCACTAAGAATAGAAACCACTCCCCATTCACAGCTGGGGTCCTAGGGCTCTACCAAACCACACTCTGGCAGTGAGGCTGCAGGAGATGGGAGTGGCTTCTAGCTCAGGTGTCTGTCCTGTGCCTATTTTCTGGCTTTGGCTTGGTAGCTGCCCTGCCTGCCAGCTCCTCACTGATGTCGGAACCAGTTTGACTTAATAACTTACCTTTTCATGATTCTCCATTTCTGCTTTTGCAGTGGGGTCTGTTGTTATGATTAGAGGCAGGACTTCACATTCTAGAAGCCCATGCATGTGACCCTTGCTCTAAGTGTGAGATGTGGATCAGCCATTGTAAAATTAAACTGAAAGAGATCCAGGAGGCTATCTTTAGTGATCAGGACTCTTATGATGGCAGACAGCAGAAATGCAACCTACCCTGCTTTAAGAGAAAAAGGGACCTTACTAGTTATAAGCCTGGCTTCGGGCATGGGAGGCTTCGGGGGAACAAAGGATGTTAGAACTCTCTCTGCTCCAGTTTTGTCTGTTTCCCTTTCTTGTGGGGAGGCTAGGGGCTCTTTCATAGTCAGCTTCTCCCCAAGTGATGATTAGAGGGCCCCTGGCATCTCCAGGCTTACATCCTCTCTGCTTCAAGTCCCGTTTCCCAGAATGGGTTTTTTGGGTCTCTGATTGGTCCATCACGGGTCACGTGAACACACCCGGGGCTGCACCTGTGGCCGGGGTGCTGCAGGGCTCTGCCTCACCGGGCCCGGAAACATCCTCCCCTGAAGCCAAGTGCGCACTCAATTCCACCTGACACGTGGGACTGAGAATGGATGAAGGGTGGTTCCCCAAGAAAAGTAGGAGTGTCTTTATAAGAATAAGGGAGAAATAAAACAGGAGATGGCTACTGGACCCTCTTTTCCAGCCCTTTTATCATCATCTACAGCAGCTGTACACCCTCTGCTAGAGATCCCTCAATAAAGAACGCTCCTATCTCTCAGGATAGCTCATTCCATGTGGGGACATCTGTAATCAATAGAAAATTCTCCCAAATGCTGAAATGGAATCTCATCGTGTTTTCACTCACAGGTCCTGATCTTCCCTAGAGGGCCAAACAGATCAAACCCACGTGGAAACAGTTGCTTGAAGGCAGAAATTGTGACCATCCACTGGTCCTTCCTGCCTGTGGGCAGATGTCCCAGGTTCCTTCTGTTGTCCCCCTGGGATTTGGCTTTGTGTTCTGTCCCCATCTCAGTCACCCTCCCTGAATCATGCTTCAGTTCTTTTCTGACCTGCAGAAGTTAATATTCAGAACCAGTCAGAATCCTCTAGGAAGGTCTGAGCAGCTCAAGGCAGACCAGGGCTGTCCAGACATTTATTTCTCATAAGACCCATGAAGGTGTTTGCCTCTTTGATGATTGTTTTACCACATGACTGACACAGTGAATTCTCAGTCAGCAAAAAAGTCCCAGATATTTTTGTACCAATTGTTTTTTTAATCCAACCTTTACTTCTGTTTTTGTATTTCTTCATATTTCCCCTTCTAAAACTTCATTTTATTAGATTCTGGTCAAATGGGATCAGTGTCTTTGAGTGATTTTTCAAGCAGCAGGAGGGTAACTGCCAAGAGGTCCTAATTCCTCCTCTGTGGGAAAGGCTGTTTTGTAATTTCTCCACGTCTTCCTCCTCGGTGTCACCTTCCATGTGTCAATTCTTTGGCCTCCTGTTTGATTCCTCTGTCTTCTTAGTGAGAGGTGGAAAGTGGGGCAAAGAGTTGAGAATAAATTCACAGTGGAAGTGACCCTGGAGTTGGGTGTTGACGGATGAATAGGAGCCTGCTGAATGGGAAAAGGAGGTTAGGAGTTCAGGGTCTGGAGAAAGGCAAGAGCCAGTTGGTAGAGTTTATTGTGATGGAGGTTGAAGGAAAAAAACTCAGAACAGAGGCAGCAAAATGGCAGTGCACAGCAGAGTTTGGCTCCTACGTATAATCTTCTTGGCCCTCACTATGTTAAGAAAGATTAAGTTGACATTTAAACATTTAAAGATTTCTCCTAAAATCACGATTTTGTGTTTCTCATGCAAAATCAGAAGCTCTGACTATACCAGCCCGATGTGGACTCACACTTGGCATCAGCTGGTGGTAGCTGAGTGCTGCCAGCGCCGTTGGCCTGGGCATGCTGTCTCGGCCACTCCCCTCATCCTGCTGCCGTGCAGGGCGTTTCACCTTGCTTGGGTCCTTGATTTTCCCTCTCTGGCCCTTTGTGCATTTGAGTTTCCAGCCTCATTTTTAAACATTACCTAACTGTGGTTCGTAAATTCTAGTGTGCATCAGGATCACCTGGAGCCTTTATTAAATGCAGACTTCTGGGCCCCAGTCCCACAGTTTCCAATTCATTAGGTTTAGGGTGGGGCCTGGAAACCTGCATTTGTAGCATATTCCCAGGTGACACTGATGCTGCTGGTCTGGGGACCATACATAGAGAATGACTCCTAGTCCAACCT